TATTCAATCTAAATCTACCCTCTTCCTGTTTAAAACCATTATCCCTTGTCCTGTCACTACAGGCCTTGGCACAAAGCCTCTCTCCATCTTTCTTATAAGCCCTCCTTATAAATTGAAAGGCTGCAATACGGTCTCCCCAAAGCCTCTTTTTCTCCAGGCTGAACACCCCAGGTCCCTCAGCCTTTCCTCATAGGAGAGGTGTTCCAGCCCTTTGGTCACTTTTATGGCCCTCCTCTGTATGTGCTCTAACAGGTCCACATCTTTCTTCTGCTGGGGGCCCCAAAGCTGGACACAGTCCTGTGGGCGGGGTCTCACCAGAGCAGAGAAGAAGGGAAGAATAACCTCTATTGACCTGTTGGCCACACTTCTTTTTATGTGGCCCAGCAAGCCAACTGTATCCTGGGTTGCAAGTGCACATTGCTGGTTCATGTCCAGGTTTTCATCCACCCATACCCCCAATTAATCCTCAAATCCATACTGATATTGTGAATTGCCCCAACCCACTGCAGGACCTTGCACTTGGCCTTGCTGAACTTCAAGTGGTTTGCACAGGCCCACTCCTCAAGCCTGTCAAAGTCCTTCTGGATGGCATCCCTTCCCTCTAGTGAATCAACTGCACCACTCAGCTTGGTGTGATCTGCAAATTTGCTGAAGGTGTCCTCAATTCCACTGTTTATGTCATTGATAAAGATACTAAACAGTAGTGGTCCCAGTACAGACCCTTGAGGGACACCACTCGTTACTGGTTTCCAGTTGGAGATTGAGCTGTTGACTGTAACTCTTTAGATGCAGCCATCCAGCTAATTCCTTATCCTTACAGTAGTAGTCCATCCATCAAACCAGTATCTCTCCATTTATGTAGGTAAAAAATGTTGCACTCATCCTCACTGTTATTGTCATTACTAATTATTTCAAATAAAGTAACTGTCAAGTTCAGTAATCACTTAAATAGGGTAAATCCTTAACATTCCCCAAATAAGAAAAAAAACTCCAAACAATTCAAAACATCACCATGACCACTTTAAATGTCTATAAAAGGTCACAAGGATCACTGAAATGTAGTTAATCTGAATGCACAGAACATTGCCACAATTACAGGACTAAAAGTCATTCTTCCCCTGCAAGTAAACTTTTAATATAAAACTAAAAAATAATATCTCTTCAACTCTTTGTAACCAAATTCTCCTTCTAAAAAGAAGAGGAAGAGTTGCCACCTAAATGACTATCACTATCTGTTTGCACTTTTGAGAGTTTTTTCTCCTAGAGACAGTTTTTAAAAAATAAAACAACCCCCCAACAACTAACTCACTATAATCTTAATTTACATCACATTGCAAGGCCTCTCTTACAGATATCAAAATCATCATTTTATAAACTCTGATGAACTCAATTACTGCATTTGCTGTTCTTTGCAAAGGGATAATTTGACTACTATCAGCATGTTGTGGTTTTGAACCACTGGCTAGCAGCCAAACACCATAACAACCTCTTGCTTACCCTCCCCCCTCTTGGGGATGGGGGAGCGAATTAAAGGGCTAAAGAAAAGAGACTCGTGGGTTGAAATAAGAACAATTTCATAATTAAACTACAATAATATTGGAAATAATAATTTTAATAATAGTAGTAATATAGATAAATATACAAATGAGTGATACAAAGTGATAGTGCTCACCACCCAATAAGCAAGGCTCAGCCCACTCCCAGCTAACGATCCCGGAACAGGGAGAGTCCGGAAACCACAATCCCGGAACGGAGATAAGAGCCCGAGCTTCCGAGAGACTGAGACAACCCTGAGAGACGGGTGGCCCACAGGGAGACAACCTGGAGCGAAGAGAACACTTCCAGACAGAGCCTCATCCATATACCGGGCACAATATGGAATATACCATTGGCCAATTTGGGTCTCAACCCTAAACCTAAGGTCGAATCCTAGGCTAGTAACTGGGGCTGTGCTCCCTCCCAGCTTCTCCTGCACCCACAGACACTGGCACAGCAGAGAAGCTGAAAAGCCCTTGACTGTCCTGGCAGCAACTATAAACATCAGTATGTTATCAGCCTTCTTCTCAGCACAAATCACAAAGAGAGCCTCTCACCAGCTACTATGAAGAAAATTAACTCAGCCCCAGACAAAATCAGGACACAGTGAAACTACTGCTGTGATATAACGAACATTCTGTCTTTCTTTCTCAGTAGCTGCCCTTTAAGAGTCCCATGCCCAATCTTCATGTAGAGCGGGCTATGCAGTCTCCTAATGACAGCTGCCTACTGCACAGTTTCCTAATGTGTATCCATAATCAAGAAATAAAAAGCAGGTAAATCCATACCCCCACTTTTTTTCCTTCAAAAAAAGCAGTAAAAGCTATCTAACCTCAGCCCACAATGTATGATCAGGAGCAACAACAACAGCAAGGAAGTCAGCATCTGTCTTCCTCAAAAATATAATAGCCAGAGGCTGAAAGCCAGCAACACCCAAGCCTAGGCCACAACTATGCCAAGAGTTAAGGCAGATCAAATATATATGATTTATTGGTTGTATTTAAATGACAGTGGTAAGGTCCCTTCCACCCAAACTGTTCTATAATTCTACGATTATTCAAATATTTAAGAACTTCTCAGTTATGATTAAAAAACTTTACAGAGAAAGAGAGAGACAAATTGTGACTCTCGTACAGGGATATGAAAAAGCAAAACCAGCATCTAAAGTATTTAATTCCAATGACAATTTGGTATAGTGCCAGTTATAGGACAAACTATAAAGAAAAAGTAATGCAAAATGCAACTCCTCAAAAGAAGTCTAAGAATTATCTTTTTTTTTTAGGTTGGATATTAGCTGGAAATTTTTCACTCAGAAGGTGGTGAGGCACTGGCACAGGTTGCCCAGGGAAGTTGTGGATGCCCCACCCCTGGAGGCATTCAAGACCAGGCTGGATGGGGCCCTGGGCAGCCAGCTTTAGTGGTTGGCAACCCTGCCCACAGCTGGGGGGATGAAACTAGATGATCTTTAAGGTCCTTTTCAACCCAGGCCATTCTACGATTTTATGATTCCCCCTGACACTTCAAACATGAAGTAGAATCACAGAAACATATCATAGAATAGTTAGGCCTGGAAAGGACCTTAGAGGTCATATAGTTTCAACCCCCCTGCCATGGGCAGGGACACCCTCCACTAGACCAGGTTGCTCAAAGCCTCATCCAGCCTGGCCTTGAACACCTCCAGGGATGGGGCATCCACAACTTCCCTGGGCAACCTGTTCCAGTGTCTCACCACCCTCACAGGAAAAAATTCTTCCTAATATCTAGTCTAAATCGGCCCTCTTCCGGGTTAAATCCATTACCCCCTGTCCTGTCACTGCATGCCCTTGTAAAAAGTCCCTCCCCAGCTCTCCTGTAGGCCCCTTCAGGTGCTGGAAGGCCACTATAGGGTCACCCCGGAACCTTCTCCTCTCCAGGTTGAACAACGCCAACTCTCTCAGCCTGTCCTCACAGGGGAGGTGTTCCAGCCCTCTGATCATCTTCATGGCCCTCCTCTGGACCTGCTCCAACAGCTCGACATCCTTCTTGCATTGCGGGGCCCAGACCTGGACGCAGTACTCTAGGTGGGGCCTCACAAGAGCAGAGTAGAGGGGCAGAATCACCTCCCTTGACCCACTGCTCATGCTTCTCGTGATGCAGCCCAGGATCCTGTTGGCCTTCTGGGTTGTGAGCACACATTGCTGGTCCATGTTCACTTTTTCATCTACCAACACCCCCAAGTCCTTCTCCTCAGGGCTGCTCTCAAGCCATTCTCTGCCCAGCCTGTATTTGTGCTTGGGATTGCCTGAACTCACATGAAGAACCTTGCATTTGGCTTTGTTGAACTTCATGAGGCTGGCATGGGCCCACCTCTCCAGCCTGTCCGGGTCCCTCCGGATGGCATCCCTTCCCTCTAGCACATCGACTGCACCACACAGCTTGGTGTCATTGGCAAACTTGCTGAAGATGCATTCGACCCCACTGTACATGTCTCTGACAAAGATGTTAAACAGCACTGGTCCCAGAACTGATCCCTGAGGAACACCACTCGTCACCGGTCTCCATTCAGAAGTAATATCATAACAGAAAAAAAATGACTGTATACACAAAATAATTTACATTACCTAAGTTCAATTAAAAAGTAAATAACTGAACAACATTTATCTGTAACCATTTCATCCTCAGAATGCTGGTCTGTAGAATTCCTAACTTGCAAATGGTAACTTCTAGTCCCTGTCCCACAGTAGTCGAGGCAGAACACACAGCCAAAGCAGAGTCTAGATTAATTTATGCAGAAAAATTCCTTGTTGGTCATTCGACCTTTTTTTGCATCATTGCCCATAATCCTTACTACAGACCACACAAGACTGACTTTCATTAGTCTTTCAAGCTGCAGAACTTTGAATAGTCTAAGTAGTCATAAGAAGATGAATGCGCTTATGCATATTTTGCATTTCTCTGAATAAAAAATTGCTTTAAAATACTTTAACCTATTTCAGTTTAGAGAGAACTTGCAGTAGCAACAGTATTTGCGTTTTTGTAGTGTTTTCAAGAGAATCTCTTTCACAATTACTAGCTGATCATCTTCCATAAAGCCATGAAAAGTTTTACTCTAAGTTATAAATATATGTTGAATAAATTTATGTTCCAGCATTTCTGAGATGAAGAGAAATTCTCCCCTTAATATGTCAATGTAATACTGCAGTGAACTAATTTTGCTCCTACTTAGAATTTTATGTAGCTTAGTGTTCTAATAAAACTTCGACATTATAGACTATATTAAATGCTTCTTATATGTACGTCTATACAGCTAAATTAAATTTATGTATGCCTTTTCAATTCATCAGCTTCTCTAACACAAGTAAATGTTCTTTTAAGACAGGAATTATAACACCTTCATAAAACCATTAACATATTTTAGAAACCCTATAAAGTAAGAACACTTTTTACCCACTAAACTAAAACAAACCACCCAGAAAACACCTCACCTGCATCAGCTCTGGACCGCTGACCTGGTGATTTTCCAAATGGGGTCTTCATTCATCTGTGTTTAAGTGAGCAGCAAAGCTGCTGGACTAGGGTGAAAATCCAGTTCTTCCTAACTCCCAGGATTTCTTCTTACTCTTGGAATATGACAGCTACTTCTTAATCCACCATTCAATCAGTAATTTTTCCTTCCTCAAATGTAGAAGATGCACTTTCAATTACGGTACTCTGAAAAACAAAACAGGTAAAGTATAAACAGTTTGATTAAAGACTTGGTTAAGATAAGAATTAACTGATTTGATTAAGATAAAAATGTTTTGTTTCACTTTAATGCTTGTTTTCATAATCAACAGGAAGGTCCTTCATATTCTGTTACTCTGAAAACATTCAGCAGAGAGCATGTAGACAAGAATACAGCAAAATAAATACCAGGGCTGCTACTCTTCCCTCACATTCACAGCCAAGTTCCATATCACAAAGGCAACTACATACAGAAAGGAAAGCCTCTTAAAAACCACTGAGTGCAGTGCAGGGAAGAATGACTACTAGCTTAGAAGAAAATACTACCTTCAGCAGAGGTAAAGCACAGATCAACTATTGCCATCTATTAGAAAAAAACACCCTCATGCCCACACAGCAGAGTACCTTCATAGAATCACAGAATGTTTTGGGTTGGAAGGGACCTTACAGATCATGTAGTTCCAATGTCCCTGCCATGGACAGGGACACCCTCCACTAGACCAGGTTGCTCAAAGCCTCATCCAGCCTGGCCTTGAACACCTCTAGGGATGGGGCATCCACAGCTTCCCTGGGCAACCTGTTCCAGTGTCTCACCACCCTCACAGTAAAAAATTCCTTCCTAATATCTAAACTAAATCTACCCTCTTTCAGCTTAGAACTGTTACCCCTTGTCCTCTCACTACACTCCCTGATAAAGAGTGCCTCCCCATCTCTCTTGTAGGCCCCCTTGAAGTACTGGAAAGCTGCTATCAGGTCTCCCTGGAGCCTTCTCTTCTCCAGGCTGAACAACCCCAACTCTCTCAGCCCTCTGATCTATTTTGTGGCCCTTCTCTGGACTTGCTCCAACAGATTCATGTCCTTCTTATGTTTGGGGCTCCAGAGCTGGATGCAGTACTCCCAGTGGGGACTCACAAGAGTGGAGTAGAGAGGGAGCATCACCTCTCTCGACCCACTGGTCACGCTTCTTGTAATGCAGCCCAGGATCCAGTTGGCCTTCTGGGCCGCAATTGCACACTGCCAGCCCATGTTCAGTTTTTCATCTACCAACACCCCCAAGTCCTTCTCCTCAGGGCTGCACTCAAGCCATTCTCCGCCCACCCTGTCTTTGTGCTTGGGATTGCCCCGATCCAAGCATCCCTTCCCTTCTGCTTGTCGACCACGCCACAGAGCTTGGTGTCCTTGGTAAACTTGCTGAGGGTGCACTCCATCCCACTGTCCATGTCTCCAACAAAGATGTTAAACAACACTGGTCCTAATAGTGACCCACTTGTCACTGGTTTCCATTTGGACATCGAGCTATTCACCACAGCTCTTTGAGTGCAACCATACAGCCAATTCCTTATCCACCAAGTAGCCCACCCATCAAATCCATGTCTCTCCATTTTAGAGACAAACAATGTTGTGCAAGTCAGCACCAAAAGCAATGCACAAGTCCAGACAGATGACGTCAGTTGCTCCTCCTTTATCCCCCAACGCTGTAACCCTGTTGCAGAAGGCCACCAAATTTGTCAGGCACTATTTTCCCTTGATGAAGCCATATTGGTTGTCACCATTCACTTTCTTATTTAGCTAACTTAGCTTCATAGAAGTTAAAAAAAAAAAAAAAGTCTGTTGAAAAAATCCAATCTGTAAAAGACAGCAAAACACTGATTCCATGGCAATGACTGCTGAAGCCACGAATTTGTTAAGTCAGTGGTTTATAGTAGATCTGTAAAAGATGCCTTACCGAATAAGGGAACATACAAGAACATGCCTTGAAGTATAGTAAAACTGTTACGCAGAAGAATGCACTTGCATCTAACAACACTTGCCACTTCTTCCATGAATCACACTCATTAGCTTCTAGGAACATTAGACCAACACAGAGGAATACTTTCAGGGAAAAACAGCAATAGGGAGACAAACATTCACTAATTTGCAGTTTTTAGAAAGATCTGTACTATGTTTGGAAGATCTAACTTAGACATTCACAGTCACGAATTTGTAAGAATTAGTGAAATTAAAGTTAAAAATTAATTTACAGTAACTTAGTAGCTTTTCCACATTTCATCTCTTCCTGAAATCTACCAGTGTATACACAACAATACTGAATGATATCAGGGCAACAACAGTCAACTTCTAAAAAGCACTTGAAGGCACAATAGGAAGGAATTAGCTTGCTTAACTACTTTACTAGAACACAGCAGAAAGGATTGTTTTTTTCTACTAAACTCAAAAGTATTTTACTATGGATTAAAAAACATTAGCACAGAAGCATCCTTGATTATGAAAACAAACTCTGAATTCAGAGCACTGCTATGATATACTACAAGCACTGCATAAGCATAAAGAGAGATCCAATGTTTTCCTCCAGGAAAGCTATTAGTTGAGAATAATCTGTAATCTAGTATTATATTTTTCTACCTAAAAAAACCCACCCCCCAAAACCATAAACTAGACAACCCCCAGCACAAAACCACAAACTGTGAAAATCCTTCTAATTTAGAAACTAACATACCCTTTGCAAGTAAGCCATTAACCTGTCATTCAAGAACCTGTAAGTATTTGCTAACATCTGTATGTATTGTATATTCCCCCCCTCCCCAAGACTTCCACATCATGGCAAAAATACCAAGTACTACATAGATATTTAACTTTCACTGGTTAAGTAGCTATGTTTATAAAGGCAACTAAAACACTACAAAAGTTGTGGTTTTATACCAGTTACTTTTGTATGGTGTGTCCCCACTCATTACTATGCCACAAATCTGAAGTCATACCTCTAAAAAGGAAAATTACTTCCTAAACCTTCTTAAGCCACAATTCACTTGCAAGCATTTAAGCATTTCACTGTGCTCTCTGAATCTAAGGACGCAAAGCCACTGAAGTAAAAACCTGATTCGGCAGTTCAAACTGATTTTCTAGAAACTAACCCAGTAACTGTCACTAATTCAAAACCTCACTGAAGATTTTCACTAAAGCAAATGAAACTTGGGTTCTCCTAAAACTAGCATTCTGAATTTAATTTACATTTCAGTTTCACTGACAGTTCTGGAGATTACCAATAAGAAGGGATAAACTTGATTTTCTGAAAATAAACTGATGTACTTTGATAACACCTTGACTTTTAAAGCCTATATAACAAAGTCTCATTTACTTGAATAAAACTAAACCAAAAGCCACAAAACTTAGTATTCTTAAATATGATGAATGACAAAACAACACATTTAATGCCATCATGCAAGTATCTTAAACTCTCAATCTGGAAAATAAAAAAAAAATTAACTCACAAAATGCAAAACCTTTTATTATAAAGTTTTATTACAAGTCTTGAAGAATGTTATGTTCCACATAGAAGTACAGAAGTTTTTTAACATGCTTCTGACATACTCAGTAGCATTAAGCTATACTGTTAAGGAAGACGGAGAAACTCCCTGTCTGCATGCATAGAAGATGACTTGGGAAACAATCAACTTTTTAGGGTAATCCTGTTGATAGCAGCACACTTAACACATAGCAAGAACATCACAGGCAGCTTTTTTGGATCCAAACTGACACATCCAAAAGAAGTTATACTAATCTTTACAAACCGCCAGTAAATTTCAGAAGACAGGTGTCACTGCCCACCAACTAGGCACTGTTTTCCCAACACCTGACAGCACAGGTCACTAGCAGCACAGCTGCAGGTTTCACTTAGACAGGCATTCTTTTGACTTGTCATCAGCTGCAATCACTCACTAGCCCAGCTGTTTTGTTTGTTTGTTTTTACAAACCTTCCTAGATCACAGAACACTTACAAAAAAACACAATATGGAAATTAGGTGACTACTTTGTTTAATAGTGTTCTAATTATTGCATTTTTTCACTGAAGGTTGCTAGACTAAAAATGCAAGCCCTATAAATTGTCAATCGTACCAGTTTTCACAATAGTACAACCACACTATTAGAAGAGGGAGGAAGACACAGTATTAAGACAGAAAAAATAAAGCTGTGTTGAAAATCCTTCTTGCAGTATAAAGGCAAAAGGAGGAAAATCCAGCATGCACACAAATTGCAGCTTTCACTGTGAACCAGCTTAACCCCCCTCTATAAACTCAGTTGTTTAGAAATATTAAAGTTTTTATATGAGCTTTTGACTCCATTAAAATAAGTGTAACCACCTAAATAATTCTCTTGCTTAACTTTCAGTTAACTTTCATGCTTATTTTTCCAACAAATTACACGCATTTCACTGCAACACAGAGCACAATGTTGTTCACTGCATTCTAGTGAAAGCTTCATGGCCTTACTATCCATGGAACAGGGATGTTAGTAACACAAAAACATCTGTGGCACCAAAACCACAAAGTGCTTCACAGCAAAAGTTAAGCACATCTAAATTTTACTACCATGAGCACAAAAGGAAATAGTATCAGAACATTTACTGAGGCATTGCTTTCAGGGTGAAAGTTTGGAAGGATAGCGAGGGTAACAGCCTGTGTTTCTTGTATCTCTTAGATGTAGAACTGCAAATTCAGATGTTAATTGCACTTTCTCAGGAGGTCTGTTCCTGCTCTCAGACATACCACTGAGCAGGCCTGCTGGCACCACCTGGTGGACTCCAACATTTTCACTTCAATATCTAAAACATTTCTCTTGCATGCAACTCCCCTGCTGTAAGCTTGCATTGGTAGTTGTTCAGTGCAGGACCAGCCTGTTCCAACACGTTACAGGGCTGTTCTTTGGAAGGACTCATTCCTAAAGGAAACGCATCAGCTAAAGAGATGCCTTTCTAAGTAGTATTTTGATTTCCATAACTCAGAACTCCCTGTACATGTTTCAAATAGTTGAAACAG